ATCTGAGACATTACTAAGGCAAAGGATGAAGCCTCTATGCCTGCTGCAATTGCCCATTTGGTTGTACAATCTGGCATTCGTAGTGTGCAGATGTTGGGCTTCAATGATCTTGAATCGTACATGCAGATGGGGAAAAAAGTCCCTTTACTTCCAAGGCTGGTAAGTCTTATATTTTATAGAGAAATGTGCCATAAATACCAACGTGTTCGCTTTCCAGTCGTTAGCCTTTATTTAGTAGGTGAGAACCCACGGAGGCACAAAGAGTCTCCCTGTAGCAAGGGAAAACTGGCGTCTTTGCTCTGGATAAAATACAGGGAACATCTCCACTTGCGGTAGCGTCATGTGTTACAAGCTGCATTCCTCATGTAGGCCTTTCCCAGGTCAAATCTTGGCCTAGAAAAAATAGTGATCGCAAAGTCAAAATTCGAAATGTCTCTTAGCTCAAATGAGCAATGGGATGGCACTTGTCTCCATTGGTGGTAGAAATTCCATATTGAAATCTTTCTGATTGAGAGGGGGTCAAATACTTATTTCCCTCAATAAAATGCAAATAAATTTATAACACTTGACATGCGTTTTTCTGAATTTTGTTGTTGTTATTCTGTCTCTCACTGTTCAAATAAACCTACCATTAAAATTATAGACTAATCATTTCTTTGTCAGTGGGCAAACATACAAAATCAGCAGGGGATCAAATACTTTTTTTCCCTCACTGCAGCTACAACTGTGGAAGAAATCTATGAAATCGAATGTTGAACTCCATTTTTTGACCAGTTCAGCCCTGGGAGACTTGACATTGGTCAAAAATAAAGCGTGTGTTGTTAATACAGCAGCAGCAGAAGGAATAAGCACCATCTCGTGCAGAGAGACAAAAAACTCGTTATTCATCTTGGGTTGGCATGGCTAGAACAATGAGGGTATAAACTGAGACAGGTGCGAGTTAAACAAGACTTGCTGTGCTAGAGTAGCTGGTGTCCAAACATTGGTAATGAGTTTGAAAGTTACTTGTGTCAAAAAAAAACAATTGCCCCCTCCTTTGTTCAACCACACATATTTAGCCTGTGATTTGTTTTGCTTCAGGGGTCTGCAATCATTGTCTCTCGCCATTATGCAGAGTTCTTGACACCGGGGAATTCACCTCAAATAACCTAAAATGATTCGTGCAACGCGCCTCACTCACTCGACGAGAGCTTGGACGTAAGCGAATATTGAAGAAGCGTCGCTCCTGCTTGAATTGAAATGACTTACCCTGCTGGCGATGCAATGAATTGGCCTTCATCCCTGAGTAGTCGATTTCAATAACCCCCCTTTCCCCGTCCCTGTCAACCGCTGGGCGGCAGGGGGGGGGCAGGGGGAGATCGCACCGGCGACCTCTGGATTGCAAGTCCGGGGTCCTCGCCATTACAGCAGCACTGTAGCGGCTTCCCATCCACTGTAGCGGCTTCCCGTCGCTTGAAGTCACGCAAGCCCTTTTGGACCAATACGCTTGACCTGAATGAGAATTCAACCCCGATGAAGCCTGGAGAGCTGAATGGAGTTCTAAAAGAACTCGCGAACAAACACCTAGTTGTGAAAGATCCAACGGAAGAAGATCCCTGGGTTTGATCTTCCAGGAAGCTCATGGTCCACCCTAAACCGCGTCCACTGCAAACACCATGACAGATGCGGATACCTGATGCACAAATGGAAAATTTAAAACTCTCCAGTAGTATTGTGCAACTGTGATCATCCAGAACAGACCATACAGCGTGTAACGAGGCAATGCCGCGATCCACAAATACGAAGGAGACATCGCAGCGATACAACTCCGCTGCTCCTGACGCAGTTATCTGGCTCGGCCACCTGAACGTGACATTGTTGATCTGCCATCTATGTCAGCAGCCATACGAAAGAAAAGAAAGAGATCCAATGCACTCTTTTGTTTACAGTGCAGTGTTAATCGCTAAGAAGGGTGCAGGGGTGAATGACAGCCCGCGTAATTGTAATAAATACATTTACATAAAGTGCACTTGCGGTGACTGCTGGAGGGTGGTGGCCCAGCGTAAGAAACGCTCGGAAGCCTCTTACAGCTGTAATTGCCAATTAGAGATTCAATCTGTGGAATGAGATTGCGGGCCGTTGCTAAATTCAGCAGCTAAACTCCTTTTTTTTACACTCCGGGTAGGTCGGGTTCAAGGGTCAAGGCACCGTTAACGGAATTAAAGTGGTTGCAAGCCAAACGCTGCGTGAACGTAAAACAAAAAAGATTCAGTATTGTGGCATTTGAAGCGTGCAGTGGCAATATCTGGCCTGCCGTGAGGAATATTTTGGGTTGATAATGATTCATAATCCCAGAAAACTATTCGTGGAAATGATTCACCACCACCACCCTCCATGAATCAATGAATTGTCACAATTCGGGGGTTGTGATTTGAAAGGAAGCATTGAATCCTTGGTTGTTGTTGTTGTGGCGAATGAAGAGTCGCTATTGGCTGCAGGGGTCTCCCGAACCAATTGCGTTCAACACATGTGAGTTCAACTTCAGGATACCTTGCACGTATCGTGAGAGCAAGAATCGATTTTAAATTACTCCACTCTATTCCATTCTTGCGCACGATGGCAACATGCTCAGGGGCTGAATACCAATGTGGGAGGTCTGTCTGCTGGCCACGACGAGAGGGCTTCAGGACGGAGTTCGTGGAGTTTGGCTGTTCCTCCTCCTCCGTTGAAGGAGCGCAGGCAACAGTGGTTTATTCATAATAAAGGTTTTTGGGTTAGATCGCGTGAAGAATAAATGTGTCGTAACCCTCCACCACCCGACAAAGCCAATTACTAAGGAATTTATCACGTAAACGAAACGTCAAATAGTTACTACGCGATCTAACCCAAAAACCTTTATCATGCATAATATTGATCGCGAAAGCCTACGTGTTAAACTGACAGTAGTTTACCGCACGGTCCATCCTTTTGGTTGCATAGCTACAGGTGCGCTGTGGCTTGTTAACTTTATTTTTCACGCCACCCTAAACACAATGAACACCGTCATCTCGATGAAATGAACATCGTTAATTCAAATGAACCCATTGATGTATCGATATCCTACATCAAACGCTCAACTGAGTAAATAATTAATCAGCCATCGAACAAAGACTGTCACTGCATCGCGCGCTTTCAGATGCACGTCTAACAGCCGTCTGGAAGGCTCTTCCTTACGATTTGAGGAAGCCACTGGAGCTATTCAGTTTTTTATATATAGAAAACTAATTTATTTAGAACTGCTTTTTGTTTTTAGTTTGCTGCCCATCCCCCGCACCTCTGATTAATTATCACGGTTGGCTACATACGGTGCACAAGAAATTGAACATACATACAATAGTAAAGAGTGTTTGTTGTGTTGTGTTTTTACATGTGTGGGTATGCGAATCGTCATATTCGTTCGCGTGCTACGCTACAAATCCGGCTACCTGAGTTTGATTTCTAGCCACGGCTAACATCGGTGGAAGTGGTATCGGACTTGGTCCTGCTCCGCCGCTATGTTGACTTGGCCTTAAATGAGTGCCAGGTGTTGCAATTAAACATCAACGTTGGGGAGACCAGGGGCGATGGGGCACACCACCCCATGCCCGTTCTGGCCTTAATAGGTTTCCTCTTCCAACACTTGCCCCGACAGTCTACAATGGCTCTACACAGGAGCTTTGTCTCTGTGGGCGAGTGGTTGTACAATGGTTAATACACTGCGCTATAAACCCCCGTGACCTGTGTTCAGTGGCATCTGAACCTCTTTTGGGGGGCCCCCATGTAGGTCTACTCATTCTTAATCTTTCACACCACACCATCATCACTGGGGAGCCACAGATTCCCAGGCACGATGCTCGCCACACCACCCTCCTGTATGGGTAACCGGCCCTCCTCCATCCCTACACGTGCCCAAATCTTCTCTCTTACTTATTACAACGGCAACACCGTAGTGAGATGTTAACTACCTCGCCAGGTATACAGGAGGTCGTGGGTTCGATCCCACCTCTGATGCCTGTATATTTGGAGTTTGCATGTTCTCCCCGTAGTTATGTGGATTTTTCTCCAGATTCTCCGGTTTTTCCCTCCACATTTAGAAACCTGCGTTTAGAGTATTTGGCTGCTATAAATCTCCACGTGATAAGCCATTTTGTTGAGCTATAATTTGTGGCCAGGTCGCTTCTGAAAAGAGCTACATAGCTCATTGGGCCTTACCTGGTAAAATAAAAATGTATTTTAATAGTTTAGTTTGACACTTACTTTCCACATATTGTGTGTGACTCAGCCTCAAATGCATACCTGGTGCGATATATAAATATCGCCACTCAGGAGACAAAGGCGTGGTATTGGCCACCCACCCCTACGTGTGCCGTGCCGACCTTCATAGGTGCTTGCTAACAGCACTTACCCCAACAATCTGTGAAAGGCTACACGGGTGATCTTTTTGTGTGTGTGTAGAAGGAATGACGTAAGAAGTGGTGAGTGGTCTGCTCCATGAACCTGGTGACCAACCAGAGTTCGATTCCCGGCCACGGCTAACACCGGTAGCTGTTATCTGAACCAGCTCTGGGCCACCCCTACTTGATCCTGGTGCAGTGTGTAAAACATCAGCACTGGGGAGACAAAGGCGACCGGGAATGGTGCTGGTCACACCTCACCATTGTGCGCTGTGTCGGCCTTAATAGATCTTGCCCCAGCTGTCTATGTAGGTGATCTTTGTCTGTGTGGGTTAACAGCACTAGCCCCCTGCGATCTGTTAAAGGCTTAAATGGGTGATCTTGTTTTGTGTGTGTGTGTGCTCACAGCACTTGCCTCTACAGTCTGCTGAAGGCTATATCGGGGATCTTTATCTTTGTGTGCGAACAGCACTTTCCCCTTTGGTCTGTTAAAGGCTATATGGGTGATCTTGTGTGTGTGTGCGTGCGTGCGTGCGAACAGCACTTGCCTCTTGCAGTCTGGAGAAAGCAATGTGGGTAATTTTTGTCTGTCTGTACGTGTGCTCACAGGTGAGCGGCGCGTCGTGCGGCCGCGTGCGTCCGTGAGCGATGGACCGCATGAAGCGGCTCAAGCGGCGGCTGTCGGTGACGCTGCGTGTCGGCCGCACCATCGACGAGTCGCTGTCGGAGCTCGCCGAGCAGATGAACGTGGAGGACGGGGCCACGCGTGGGGACTGCGGTGAGCACCGCTGCTTCTCTCTAGCGCTTCTTTCTCTCTCTCTTCTCTCTCTCTCTCTCGACGCTTCTCTCTCGCTGCGCCCGCACCGCGCCCTGCGAAGTGATCGACAAGAATGGCATGGAGTCATCGGAAGCACCGGTTGAGTCCAGTTGAGGCTTTAAATTAAATGTCTAGGTTCAGCAAATCGAGCAAAACTTGGGAGAAAATCAACAATGGGTGTTCTACAAAGAGACTGCCCCTCCCACCCACCACGGGAACATGGAAGTCCCATAACCACCTGCTCAGGGTTGGCAATGGATACGAACACAGATAGTTCTGAAATTTTACATGGGAATACATCTGCATGTTTAACTGTGTTTTATTGATGTATTGTTATTGATATTATTATTATTTGATGGTTGTATACCCAGAAAAGCCTCACTGGGTCTCAAGACTCTGTGTTTAAGGGGATCCTGCAAACTTTGTTGAATTCCACACATCGTACACCATTCCTGGCTGTGACATTCCTCCTGGAAGATTCCAGTGCAGCCATCAACCGCACCAGGACAGCAGCAGGCCATTGTGCGCGCACAATCTCCTTGGTGAAAGGAAAATTAAAGACACGAGCAACAGTGGTGCGACCGTGGCCGTGCAATCCAAAACTGTGGACCATACAGAAAACCACTGCAGTCGGCGTTCCTACAACGATCGACGGGTAGCAATATCTCCACGAACCCTCTCCCGAAGCCCATCTCGTCGTGGCCAGCAGACCTCGACATTGGCACTTCGCTCCTGATGCACGTCGCCCTCATGCGCAAGAATAGAATTCCAGTTGAGTGATTCACAGGGAATTAATTCTTCAGCATTGGAAATTTTGGCCAATTACCGGTTGCCTTGCACCGGTTTTGTTCGGCTATGGGAGGAAACCGCAGAACTCCGAGAGGAAACCCACCCGGAACAGGTGGGGAACGCGCATGGTTCGCCGCAATGAAGCACGCCCGAGTCTGCAGGCGCGCCCAGGAGCTCCTCGCTGCGAGGCGCAAGTTTCCACCGCTGGCGCCGCCCCTGCCGGCTGAAGTCCTTGTGATGGCTCCCGTGGATGTTTCAGGTCGACGCCGCGCCGCCGTGTTCACCGTCGAGCGGTGCTCGGGTGGCGGAGGGGGGGGGTAGGGGATGGGGATGCCGCCGTTTAAGCTGCCAACGCGAGTCTTTGAGTGACCATCGGGGGTCGCGGTGCGGCTCCCACGCCCGGCTCTTGTGGGCGCTCGTAGTCGGCAATGAATGGGGGGAGGTGGGTGAGACGGCTCCGGCGCTGAATGCTCCGAGTGTGCCGCCGCCGCCGTCCGCCACATAATGGGCATTCACGCGAAGCCATTTAGCGTCTCAATTGTCCCATTGGAATGGAGCCGCGTGGACTGCAAGGAAGTAGAAGAGGCACCGCGTTGACGACGACGCTCCGCCAGCATCACGAGCGGCCGCGGCGGCGTCCATCGTCCCACGTTCGTCGCCGAGTTTTGCCGAGCGCGCCCGTGATGAATGTCGACGCGAAGTACGCGGGCGTGGCGGGCGTTCGAGGGCGCAGTCGTGGGCGGACCTCTTCTGATCGGCGGTCCGACCTCGCTTATTGTCCCGCCCGTTATCCGGAGCGCACCTCGCGTTGCCGTGAGCGGAATCCGCGCGGTTACCTGGAGGGGGTCCGACATTCCGTAACATCGCGGATAGCAGGAAGAGAGAACATCTTGTCCTTAAACACGCCGTTGCATTCTCCTTTGTTCCTTGGCGTCTGCTCTTGACATTAAGTGCCCGCTTCCCGTGTGGCTATGTTTAGGCAGTGGGAATTATCTGGAGTGTCTTGTTGGCCCAGCAGGGAGGTGTCCCAGTGATGTTTATGCAGGGCCACTCCCCAGCTGTCAGGGCGAGTCAAACACAGCTGTCTGAGTGCGCTGACCCCGTGCCCCAGGGCTCCCTCATATGTGTGTGGGTATTCGCGTGGGTATTCGTGTGGGTATTCGTGTGGGTATTCGTGTGGGTATGTGAGTGTCTGTTCTGGGGAGCGGTGGTGCAGGGGTTAGCGCTTTGCTGCGCTACGAACCCAGTGACCCGAGTTCGATTCCCGATCATGGCCAACAGCATTGACGATTATCTGAACCGGGCCTGGGCCTCCCCTAAGTCGACTCAGCCTAAAATGAGTACCTGGTACGATGTGTAAACATCGCCACTGGGGAGACAAAGCCGGCCGGGTGTGGTGTCGGCCACCCACCCCCTCATGCACCATGCCGGCCTTCATCGGTGCTCGCTTTTAGCACTTGCCCCGAAAGTCTGTTCAGGCTATACAGGGGATCTTTGTCATTGTCTGTTTTGGCCACACCATCCTGTCGTGAGTTTGATTCCTGGCAATGCACATCAGTGGCAAGTAGTATCTGGACACTGCCCTCCGTGTGTTAACTAAAGAATGCCTGGTACTGTGTGTAAACGTCAGCACTCAGAGACCCCCACCGGTCGTGGTGCTGGCTACAGCCCACCCACTTGTGTTCCGCATTGGCCTCCATAGTTGCTCGCTCTCATGGCACTTGCCCCAACCGCCTGTTGAGGCTATATGGGGGATCTTTGTCTTTGTGCAAGCCGGGCTGGTGGTTTCTGCGTGCATAGCGCTCAACTCGTATGCATGCACGTGCACTGAACTTCTTTCGCACCGCACGTCGCCAAACGTGCTAATCGGAGGCGTGAAATATAATCGTAACAGTTTATATTTTAAATTCCGGTCGAAGGCGAGCTCATCCCATCAGACCTCCAGGGTCGATAAAGCGGGCAGAGCCGCGCCTTGTGCGACGTCGTTGGTGGTTGCAACCCCCGGCGATGCTGTGCCCCCCCCCCCCCCGACACGGGGGGGGTGGAAATGTAACCACCGGCCCAGGGCGCCCCATCAGAGACGAGCAGAGCGGATCGCTGCAGCGAGCACGGAGACATTTGACCCGAGAATTGACTCGGAGAGGATTGACGTGCGGAGCGAGGGCAGGGGGCCGTGCGAGGGGAGATGAGCGATACGAGCCTTGAGGATGGAACATGCAAGCCACGTCTTGTCTGCACATCAACTGCTCGCAACTCTGGTTGGGATATATTTGCCATGTAAGATGTTGACGTCACTTTTTGGGGGGAAATGTACCAATTGCAAAACGTGAAATGGTTCGAGAATAGCCGGCAAGTTGGGTGCCTGTTTGCGTTTTGCAAATTCCGTGATGGAAATTTGGCACTGCGTTTTTATTTTTAATGCACAGATAATGTTTAATAAAAGCGTTTGTCAGTTCAACTTTTATCGGTTACCTCCGCTTGTGCGCAAATACATTTGTCAAGATATCTTCAAAAAGCCCCAAACTATTTGCAAAAAATGGTTTGACCTTAAAAAAATGGTACGTCTTTCTCATTGCAAATGGTACGCTCCACATTAGTGCAAGCAATTCAATGTGCAGACATTGTTGTCTTGATTAAATGGATTCTTATTCTTACGATGCTCATCGGATCATGCATGTGAGCATCATTTGTGTGTCCATGCAAATTTAATGCAGTTTGTTCTGTTTGGCGAATGGTTGTAATTAACGAAGCAGAGCAAAAAGGGTACGGTCTCAACCAGACCGGTAGCTCTGCACAGACGAATCTGATGCTGCTGACGATGCTCACAGGATAAATAAAGTAAAGGACTGATAACGCGGTGCAAACAAGGCGGCACAAGAAAGCCAAAAAAAAGTTTTTATCCTTGAATCGAATAATGTTTCAGAATCTTGAGGATAAAATCTACTGGCTGGTGGTGGGTTTTGTTGGGACGGTGAAAGGTGAATCTGAAAATTTCAGAATCCGCTTCCTGTTCAAGGGAGACGCATTGCCCCGCTCCTCCGCATCGTCGCTCGCGTTCCACCGCATCGTCGCTCACGGTCGTTTTGTACTCCCATCCCCCCCCCCCCAACGTGCGCCGGCAGAGCCCATCGTGAAGAACGGGAAGCCGCCCTCGTCGCAGAGCATGCACTCCTTCCTGCACCAGTACGCGGGCAGCCTCCGCAAGCCGCCCCTCCGCCGGCCGCACAGCGTCATCGGCAACGGCGGCTTCGGCTCCTACGTCAACATGCCCATCAACAACAACAACCGGCTCGGTGGGCGCGACGCACGCACCCTACTGCTGCTGCCGCAGCATCCCCAAAGCAGCAGCGGCCGAGAGCTACCGCACTTATACGGTTCCGGCGCTTCTGCTCTAACGGGGGCGGCAAGGGGTGGCCGGGTGGCTCGGAGGGCACCGCTGAGAGATCCCGGGTTCGAAAACGGGATCCCCCAGTCTCCCCGTTGTTAAACCGAGTTTTCAAGTGCAACGAGTTTGATGGTTTCAGACCGGTCATCGTTGGCTACACGAACAAACAAAAAAATTCAGAACATTACATTTGGTTCTTGCGATATCAGTTTGGCTATCATGCGGCGAACATTTGTCACTGTGTACAGGGAATGGTGGGAGAGTGCTGCCCTCTGCCGTTTGGACCAGAGATCAATTGAAGGGGTATTTAGAGGCAGCTCTTTGGTGTCCGCTTCTGTGGTCCATTCCCTTAATACAGTGGTTCTTAACCTGTGGTGCACGCACCCCCTGGGGAGTGCGAGATGCCCTTTCTGGGGGTGCGAGACATGGCCACATTTTTTTCGAAGGTAAATCATCGAAACACAAATTTAGCACGGGCACGTAAGTCCAACTACTTTCATCTTCTGGGTTCTTTCAGTAAAGTCACGTAGAATGGAGATAAAATAATAAAAATAATAATAACAGAATAAAATTCTCACGACGTTTCGGCCACAACACAAGTAGCCTTCCTCAGGTGAAGAAACAGGACTGTCCGGAAGACAGCGCTTGAGTGAACCCTGCCAAGCTTGACAGCGTCTTTTAAGCTGTGTGGGAGGAACAGAGCGCCTTGACAAAGGAGTTTACATATAAATTAGCATGTAACTGGAGGATTAGCATGATGTTGGTGTGAGGGATGAGCACCACGGAGAGCGACGAGCTTTGTTCAGACGGACGAGTCCATCTATGTATGGAAAGGAGGAGGGGAGAGAGGAGTTTACATATCAACAGTAAATTAGCATGTAACTGGGGGATTAGCATGATGTTAGTATGAGGGATTAACATCACGGAGAGCGGCGAGCTTTGTTCAGACGGACGAGTCCATTATTTTTATCTCCATTCTACTTTGTTTCATCGAACCGATGTATTTATTAACATTGTTCATGCTTTTTTCGCGATTGCGAACCAAATGGGTGCAAGCCCGCGGTAAACGTCAAGAAACCCACTGCCTTAAAACCACGGGGTTGCACCGCTCTGGGAAAGATCCCTTGTCTCATGATGTAACAGTGATCGCGAAATCACGATAACATGGTGGGTGGGGGGGGGGGAGATTACCATGTTTTATTTTGTGATGTTGCAATTGTTGTCCCGCACCTGCGTCCGTTATTCCGTGAGCGACGCTGCGGATTTGAGCCGTCGCGTTTGCCGGAGGTTCCGAAAGCGTTTCAAGGCGGTACATTTGAGCGGTCCACTTGATGTGGTCTCACTTATCGCGCACCACGAGGCGGTGTGCTCATTGCGGCAGCCGTGTTACAGTGAAAGAAGACGAGCGGCTTGATGAGAAACTCCCGCACCTCCGATTGGCACGGGTTGGCTACGTACGGTGCAAAAAAAGTTTGACGTGCGTACACACATACATTGATAAAAGAGTGTAACGTCTTGAGCGTCAGGCATGCCCCGGCTGGAGTTCAAAAGCCAAATTGGTCTTGGTCATTTAAGCCCCCTTGGAGAGGTGGCGTTGATCAGTTGCATAAAGATGTCACATCCGGGAGACTCCCATCATGTGCGAAGGACGCGTGTGGTGCCCATCGTACAGGGAGCAGGTTGCTGCGCTGTCCTGCAAAGATTATTGAGAGTTTCCCCCATTTGTGTTTCTGAATTTCCTTTTGGCATTTTGGGTCCCTCCAATAAACACATTTTCTTCCTTCGTTCATTGGCAAGTACAGGTAATGAATCACTCAGGGCTTTGACCAAACCTTGCCGGTGAGCTGCCTGCCGCTGTCGATGAGGCGAGGGACGATGAAGCTCTTAATGAAGCCATGGGGTCAGCGTGGAACCCCAGGTGTCCGAGCCAACCGGCCCGACTCACCGCCAAACATTCCAAACAGAACCCTCGTGTAAAACAGTACTGAGACTCACAGCAGCTTTCCTGGACGTGCGAATTAACTGTTGCTATCGTCATCATTTTCATCACCATCATCGTCGTCGTCGTCAGGAATTGTCCACGAGAACCTGAAGATGGGCTCTGACGGAGAGAGCGACCAGGCGTCCGGGACGTCCTCGGACGAGGTGCAGTCTCCCGTGCACGTGCGCATGCGCAACCACCAGAACCGGCGCATCTCCCAGGAGGTGGGCGCACGCACGCACTCACACGCACTCACACGCACACATGCACGCACGCACTCACACGCGCACGCACTTTCATGCTTCACTCGCACGCACACACACGCGCGCTCGCACGCTCACGTCTCACACGTGCGTATGCACACTCACGCACGCGCTTACACTCACACACGCACGCATGCTCACACGTCTCACACGTATGCCTCACACACACACACGTACATACACAGCCGTGCACAGGTTCACACCAAAGACAAAGATTCTCCCTATAGCTTTAACAGACTGTTGGGGAAAGTGCTGTTAGCGAGCACCTATGAAGGCCGGCACGGCACACGAGGGGGTGGGTGGCCAGCACCACGCCCGACCGCCCAGTGGCGATGTTAACACACCGCACCAGGTACTCACTTGAGGATGAGTCGACCCAGGCGAGGCCCAGGACCAGTTCAAATAATCGTCACTGGCGTTGGCCGTGAGCGGGAATCGAACTTGGGTCACCAGGTTCATAGCGCAGCGTGCTAACCGCTACACCACCGCTCCCCACCGCTACGCCACCGCTATCCACACCGCACGCACACACACAGCGATACACACGCTCACGTCACACACGCGCACACAGAAAGCCATTCACACTCTCGCGTCAGAGATCCCCCGTATAGCCCCAACAGGCTGTTGGGAGAATTGCTGATAGTGAGCAGCTATGAGAAGGCAGGCACGGCACAGTCACACATGCTCACACCGGCATACATGTGGATGTGAGGGACTGGCGAGTTGCGATGTGCGCTATATGCATGGGTGCTATTTTGAAGGGCCTGTATTACTTGAGGCATTCATTTGGCTCTTGTTCAGATGCTTCAGTGAAACATCTTGGGATGGAGATAAACACTGAATGAATTTATTGTAGAATACTAATTTCACTGCTGGTCAGGCTGAACGTGCAAAACCAATGGGTAAGATGTGTTATTGACTTTGTCAGGAATCTAACCTTTGAGACTTCAGATTCGGACACTGGTGAGCTGACCTCTGAACCACATTAGCTCTGTAGACACAATCCGCTGCTGCTTGGGTAACGACGACACCTTTGGCGGGTCAAGGAAGCACAGTGGCAACGTTCGTGCCTCACAGCAATGAGGTCCTGGGTTCGATTCCTGACTCGGCTGCCTTTCTGAAATGGCATTTGTATATTCGTCTGCTGTTCCGCATCGGTTGTCTCCAGGTCCTCCAGTTCCCTCCCGTAGCAAAATAAAAAAAAAACACAATGCAACTGGCATTGACCATAGCGTCCCGATGCTGAAAAACGCCCCTGCAAAATACGCGATTGGGGATTACGCAGCACCAGCGTTTGCCCCGACTGGGATGGCTTGGCAGGAATCTTCCTGAAAAAACAAGACTCTTGCGTCTTTCCCGCGTTAAGCAAGCGAGCGTCATAATAAACAGATATATAATAGCGATGATACGATCAGTCATGCGACGTCAAAAGCCCACCTCCGAGTAGCACGGTTGGCTACGTGCAGTGCGAAAGAATTTCAACACACGCGCACATCCATATAATGCAACCATTTACGGTCCCACGCAGAGAGCCACTCAACCTTGCAAAACGTGGGAGAATGGCAACTGTATTGTTGCATCGCCGCTGCGACCGACGCGTTAGCTTTCCCGCGACGACGCGGGGGCGAGAGCGTTGCGATGGCGATCGCTCGGCAGGGCTCGCACGGAAGGCCGTTTGTGCAGAACCACAAGCTAAATAAAACATCGCAGCCGCGTGACCGGCGAGCGCCCCCCTCCCCTAACCTTGGTCACGTGCGTGCGTTCCGTCGGCAGGACCTGAACAAGCGGCTGTCTCTGCCGGCCGATATCCGCCTGCCGGAGGGATACCTGGAGAAGTTTCAGCTCAACGGCCGCTCCTTTGACGCGCCGCTGAGCCGGCGGCTGCGACGCGCCTCCTTGGTGGGGGCCCCCGGGCGTTTTGTTGTCTCTCTCCTTGTGTTAAAAAAAAAATGCTGTGATGAGACCTTCACTTCAGAAACCTCTGGCAGCAACCTTTTATTATTACCCCGTGTGCCAGAGAGCGGTTCTGGAAGGTGATGTTACAGCAAGTATCTCTGATTGCCATTGGTGCACACTTGGGTGCTGCACCAAATTTATAAATGAATAAAACCATCATTCTAACAGAATCATGGTTCCAGCTGCAAAACAATGAGTTTCAAATAACACGCACAAATGTGTAAAACGGACGCAGCCTTTTTGTGCATATGCACACAAAACATCAGCATTTCCTCAAGAACTGCATTGTGGCCCTCTGCCTTCCCGCACAATTTGCATAGAGTGTTAATTGCTTGACAAACCGCTACTTTTTGAGCATCGGAGGTTGAAATATGCCAGAGTTAAGTGACAAAACGCAATTGAACAAAATGAAAAAGTTGCAGTCACCTCGCTTCATTTGAGAAACCAGTTTAACCATGGTCGGCTCCTTGGCTTAAAACCCCACCAGGCCTGCTCGCTAGAAATACCTAGTTGATCCTAATTCATTGTGAAAGAGACCGGATTGAGAGGGTAACTCGGCGAGGGGGGGGTTGGGGGGGGGGAGTAATGTCACATTAACAGGGAGGGCTGTATATTCTTGGTTCTTTCGGTAAAGTCACGTAGAAGGGAAACAATAAAATAAAATAAGAATTAACAGGGAGGGCTGTGTAAACCTAAATGAGATCCTTGTGCCTTTCAGCCACAGTGTATTATTATTATTATTAAGCTGGGTTCCCTCATCTAGTGAGTTGTGAGTCGCATCCCGGTCAACGATAACTGTGCAACAACAAAAAACTGAATCGATTTTTCTTAAAGTTTTGTTTTCCACTGAATTCGCCAAAATGTACACCTACTAGTGTCCGTGAGTGGCCTGATCATATGGGACTTCAGAAGCAGTTCTCTGATGGCATCTTCCAGACGGCGGCGTGCCTTGACACAAGCTCAGTGGATATTCCTTCATCCCGAGACCTGACACCGATTTGAATATTCATGGAGAATTTAAAAAAACGTTTAAACGATAAACACATCCAAAGGGGGTTGATCTACAGTATGTCCCAGTTAATCGGTTATTCAATGATGTCTAGAATCACATCACAGGCGGTTTGAATTATATGATTATGTGTGGATTCAAATTGGAGGGCTTAACAACAGCATTGGGGATCCATTAGAGATGGTGAATGTTTAAATGCAATGCAGTACAATTTGTCTGCGTAATGCTTGTAAATGTGGCCATATGTTTTGATGATATACAAGAGGGCGCATTTGCATTGAGATGTCTTGGTAATGAGCAGGGATATTTTCAGCATGTTATATTCGGAGGAGAGAGAGAGAAACATCGATATTCTCATCGCTGAACAATTACAGAACTTGGCAGCTATTTTGTTATTTTTGGCCGTTTTATTTTTGGGTTTTAATTTCTGTATTTTTTTGGAACGTTTATAGTTTCCTTTTAGCCAGCTAACGTTTCATGTCGCCGTGGTGGCTAGGAGATGTGAACTACCTCGCCTGGTATACAGGAGTTTGTGGGTTCGACCCCGACCCTGGTGCCTTCTGCTGTATATTTGAAGTTTGTATGTTCTCCCCGTGGTTGCCTGGATTTTTCTCCGGGTCCTCTGGTTTTTCCCCTCCACATTTAGAATCAATGGCATGCGTTTAGATTATTTGGCTGCTATACATTTCCACATGATAAGCCACTTCATCAGGCTATCATTTGTGGCCAGGTCGCTTCTGAAATAGACCCATATATCTCAGGCCTTATCTGGTAAAAACAAATTATAATAAACTAACTTTACTACCCGGCTTCGCCCGAGACTTGGATTCTTCTTCTTGGTTCTTTCGGTAAAGTCGCGTAGAATGGAAATTATTTTATTTTATTATGTTTTATTTTTATTTTTTTATTTCCATTCTACGTGACTTTACCGAAAGAACCAAGAAGATGAATCCCTGCAGTCACGAAAGCTTTACATCGAAATTTTACTTGGATTCTTGTCTTGGATTAATAGACGGCCTACGTGGAGGGTGGGGGGGAGATGCGTGACGTCAGCAGGCACACTGCGTGACGCTGCCGCATGCGGGTGACATCACAGATATGACGTCACTGCTCACTTGCCGTGCAAAATATTACATCCATTATTGCACCCCCCCCAAAAAATACAAAAGTCTATTTTTATACATTTTGCATTGTGTACAGTCTGGAAACTACCCACATGCCAAATTTCAAGTTTGTTGCATCTCGGGAAGTATGCTAAACATTTCGAACAGACACACATTCACAAATTTCTCTTTTATATATAGATGTTTTACATTTATGTAATTTTGTGAAGTGTTTTGAAGATGCAGTTGCTCCATTAAAACGCTCAGACAAATGTAATCAATCTCGTTCGTGTTTCCGTTGAGGGACGTGGAAATTAAATTTCTGCCCTGGTTGTTTTTATCTCTCTCAGTCAGAAATTGGATTTGGGAAACTGGAAACCTACACCAAGCTCGACAAGCTTGGAGAGGTATTTAACGCGACTCGCCAACAGGCACTGCATCTCACGTCGTTTCACATTGTATGCATTGAAAAGCAGCCCACGGCCTGTGCAACACGCATATGTTTTGTACTTCAGCAGTATTCGAATGTGAAGAATGGTAATATTGCTGGATAACATTTGTTAATTTTTCAACGATGTATTGATAACGTTTTCCTTATTTTGTTTATTCTGGTTTCGTTGGGAGCCCATGGGTATTTTTATGTCGTGTGTGTACTTGTACGCAGACTAACAGCCCAGATCGTGCATTAACCTTCCTCACAATTCCTACACTTCTGCTCGACTTTAATAACTACTCTGGCTCTCTGTCTACTATCGCTGTCTGTTTACATTTGTTTATTCTCGTCTCTAAATCCCTCCATGGTCTTGACCCACCCTACCCTTGCTTTTCTCATCTCTCACTGCTCTGTCCCATCCCGTCCGCTACGCTCCCAGTCTCGACCGACCCTCTCTGCGCCTCCCTCGCCCTGCGCCCAGTCTCGCTCTCTCGCTCTCCTGTCTCCTTCTTCCTACCCTTCACTGGGAGCAACTCCCACTGCACATGAAACAATCGTCCTCACTGACCTGCTTTTGTTTTTTCCTTAAAACAACCCCCATCTCTTCTCCCCTTGGCCATCCTGCAAACTGCTACTCACTCCCCCCCCCCAATTACAACCAAGCCTCCCCAATCCCTAGCATTGCTCCTACCCCTATCACTACCCCAACCCCTCATTAACTTATTCTGCCTGTTCTCCTGTCACCACAATTACACCACCACTTTTAATAACCCCACCGTTTATCTCAACCACTGTCATCTTACCTACAAATGTTTCTTCTTCTAATTGCTGTAAAGTGCCTTGTATTAAAACGCCATATGAGACACGATCAGTTGTGTATATCCTTTATCCAGGAAAGCCTCAGTCGGACTAATTTCCTTGTTCAGGAGGGACATGCAGCGAATAGTTTTTCCCAATCCCTTGTAGATTATCTCTGCATGTGAGAGGATGCTGGAGGACACGGAGAAATCCCACACGCACTCGGGGGGAAACCCGAGAGATCACGTAGAGATGACCACTTGCTGTCCTGCATTCGAATGTCCACCTCATACCCCAGCCATGGGCCATTCCACATTCCCAGAGCAAGTGTCAGTGTTTCCATAGCACAACCATTGGAGGCTTCCCACCACGTGGTTCCAGAGTACCGGGAGAACAGCCACGCACACACACACACAGACCGAAGGAGATCCCGTTCAACAGTCCACACAGACGGGTCAGGAACCCACTCGCCTAACTGACCATCTTGCAGCCCAATAGGGTTAGGATTGCCACGGCACGTAGGGGAAATCTTCCTGATCCCATACCTCCATCTCAAGAGTGCTGCATTACAGACGTGCAATATATAGATGTGATATATAGTTATATACGGTGTGTATAAAACTATATATAGGCTCAGCCCTGCAGTTGCTTGCTTATGCCATTGCTGGCCGAAAGGGCCTCTACGAGAGGGGGGAGCTCTTCTACATATTATTATGGCCTACTCTTCTATGTTTGACGAACTGTGCATCTAGAAACATTCAGCAGCATCTCGCCTTGGGCGATGCTACTCTGAAGCAGCCGTTACAAGCACTTCTTATTCTTACTCGCGCGACGTAGTTCCGCTCACTCAATCGCGTTATATCCAGTTCGCATCCGCATTATAAAAACATGCGTTCTCTGATGCATCACTCGCCTTATATACAATTCGCGTTATGAAAGCAACACGCGTTACAGAAGAACAGACTGCGCTCAAATAATAAACGCACCGATCGGTGGGCGAAATGACCTCGCCGTTGCGCAGGGCACGTACGCGACGGTGTACAAAGGTCGCAGCAAGCTGACGGACAACCTGGTGGCTCTCAAGGAGATCCGCCTGGAGCACGAGGAGGGAGCGCCGTGCACGGCCATCCGCGAGGGTGAGAGCGCGAATAGCAATGTTGCATACCCTTCGTTAGGATTCGCGCACGTAGCCTGGCGCTCTGGAAGAAGGGCCGTCGCCTGAGACCTTCTCCTCTCGTCGAGTTTTCCTTTTAAATTCACGGCGTTGGTGGCAAAACGTGTCGAGTGTGCATTTTGCTGTTTAGAGCTTTTGCATCGCTGTCAATGCAGCAGCAGCAGCAACAGCAGCAGCCTCGCCCAAAAATTGTGCGTTAAATAAAGAACGGTCAAGTGACCTCCATGACCCGCACGACGGGCCACGCGTCGTGACGGACACTGCGAGATCCGACCTTGTTTGTCCAGTGCTCGCCGAGCTGCATTGGCCTCCTGTTGCCGAATGAATGCATTTTAAGGTCGCGCTCATTACACACAAAGTGCTTGCCACAAATAAACCGCAATACCTTGAGATGTCGTCAAAAAGCATAAGCCATCACGCAAACTCCGGTCGTCCTCGCAACAGCGGCGTTTCCGTAGCCACCTAACAAAGACGGTCACCGCATTGCGAGCTTTCAGATGCGCTTCTGTATTCGACTAGAATGCTCTTCCGTCCGACATTAGGAAGCCACTAGCTCTGCATTTTTAAATCTAGTTTGAAAGCTAATTTCTTTAGAACTGCTTTGTGTGTTTAGATTGTTGTCCTTGCCCCGCACCTCCAATTAGCACGGTTGGCTGTGTACAGTGCGAAAGGAGTTCAACATGCATACAAAAGGAGGCGCGTTGTTCATGTGACTGATGAGGACGTTGACGATTGCAGTGTCGCTGTTGAAGGATCTGAAGCACGCCAACATCGTCACGCTGCACGACATCGTGCACACGGACAAGTCCCTCACCCTGGTCTTCGAGTACCTGGTGAGTGCCGTGCTTGCCACTGTGGTGGGAGGAGCACTTCGAATCGTGGTATGATGATAACTACCTCGCCTGGTTTCCAGAATGTCATAGGTTTGATCCCTACCCTGATGTTTGTTGTATATATGGAGTTTGCATGTTCTCTCCCCATGGTCGTGTGGATTTTTCTCCGGGCCGTACGGTTTTTTCCTCCGCATTTAGAATGAACGTTCGTTTAGAGTATTTCGCTGCTCTACATTTAATGTGGCTTAGCCACAAGTGGGAATGGAAAGGACGAAGTGCCTCCCTGTGTGGAGTTTGTTTGTTCTCCCCCTGTTCTCCGTGGGTTTCCTCCGGGGTCTCCCCTTTCCTCCAATAGCTAAAAACACGTACAACGTAACAGCACAATTGATGTGCTATGAGGAAGGGCCATTGCCCGAACCGTCATCTGTTTTTATTTTAGGCCGTGGTGTTATTGACAAAAGTTTGTGTTTGTTAATTAAGCTTATGCACCACTGTCAGTGCAGCAGCATCACCACCGATATCATTCATGCAATGTAACTGGTGTTTACCAAACATCCCAATGCTGACAATTTACCTGCGAATTACTTCATTTGATTACACACAGCCACAATATTGGCCCCCCTTCTGAGAAAACATGGCTTTCCTGGGTAAAAGAGAGTCTTGAGAGGAAGTGAGGATTTCCTGGGTAAACAGGCATCATAATAATAATGATAAAGCATTTGCATGTCGTTTGGTACTCTCCATTGCTTCTGTGATGTCTCTGTATCCCCGATACAGGAGAAGGACTTGAAGCAGTACATGGACGACTGTGGAAACATCATGAGCATGCACAACGTGAAGGTGCGTCGGGTGTCCGCACAGTCACACGTCGAGGTGCCACTTGTGTTGGTCGCGTATTTATCTCTCGGCAGACTCTATAGCCAGGCCAGGCCATAGTGGACTCTATAACAAGGCCAGGCCGTAGTAAGTGGTGAATGCGCTGCCACTGGGCCATGTCATTGCGTCTAGTTTTATGATGTCCCAGAATTTTCTTATCATGTGCCAGGATGGTTGGATGAATATCAGCTGATAAGTATATATCTAGATTAGTTAAGCAGTGCAATTCGACAAAGGTTTTGAGGTTCTCCATACCAATCGTAGTCCTCAGTGTTTTACTCTATGCGGCTGCTGTGATTGCCCACCCCAAAGGTCGGGCCTGGAATATGGTTATAAAACTTACTACTGTAAATGTGGCACCAAATGGCAGATAATAATAATTTCTGGTTAGATCTTCTCAAGTAAAATTGATGGCCCCAAATTTTATTTTACGAAAAATAGTTAAACTTTGATGATGATGGACATAGGATGTTGCCATGATGTGCTCGCACTCGTTGAGCGTAAATTAAATTTTGTTACGATACAGCGTGGGTTCATTAAGCATTTATATGCATCTCAAGACACCCTATAAAAAATAAATGTACATGTTCCTGAAGGTGTTAATATACTCTGTGTGGGTATATTATTTTAAAGAGCTAAGACTCGGTGAGTCATAGGCAGAGAAACGTCAAAAGGCCTTGAGGCCAAACTTGAACAGCGACGGTGAGTGGAGGTTGACAGCGGCTACAACAGCAGATTTTGGTTGCTGGAGCGGAGACGTACGTGAGGTGGAGGCCATGTGAGATGAGAGAGGTGAGGCAGGCGGGGAGGGAGGCTATAAAGGACATTGAAGACGGTGAGAGTGCTTCATTGTTGTTATTGATCTAGGGGCTAGATTAGTTCGTGCTTCAAGGTGAAAATGTTTAGCCCTGTGAGTGATAATCCACTCGGCTGGCTCCGTTATGAGAACGCGCGACTCACAATTGTGGATTAAAATTCCGATTGCGGGGTTGGCTCTGACCATCATGCTCCTCCTGGAGTTAATGACATGAGTGAACAGTGGTTGACCCGTGGATGAGTTTGGCCTCGGCCATGGGAACGTGTAATTTTCACCACGGGCTCGGGGGCGGGGGGCAGGGGGGCAGTCGCGACGAGGGCTGTCTGAAAAGCTCCGTTTGCAAGGAGCCATTTTGTTTGTTTTGGGTCGTGTTTAAAAGCACGAGGAAGCCAATACGTTCAACACAACCATGAAGTATACTCTTTGGTTCTTTCGTTAAAGTCACGTAGGTAGAAAAATAATAATAATAATAGATCACGACGTTTCGATCTCCACACAAGCAACCGTCTTCAGGTGGGAGTCTCCCACGTGATCGAAACGTCGTAATCTATTATTATTTTTCTTCTACCTACCCACGTGACTTTACCGAAAGAACCAAAGAGTAATGGATTCCTGCAGCCACGAAAGCTTCAAATCAAGATACAACCATGAAGATTTGCATTTGTGAAGCACTTACATGGCAAGAGAGTAACGAGAATCTCTGTGAGTGTGCACACCGCAGTACAACAGCATTGCTGTTGTGGTAATGAAGGGGTGAGGTAAAATCAACGTTAAGAGATTAACAGGATTGAAATATAAATTCAGTAAGCATTAAAGTATCTAATTCAATTCCTCAATAAGTACGTCTGCTGTCTGTAAACGTGTCTTTCAAGTGTATTTTTCACAGTGTTCTCAATTTACGAATGGGAGCGGTCCACAATTTAGGTTCTACCCCGTGTGAGCACTGTTGCTCTACAGCGAAACAGTGTACTCGGTAGAAACGCACATTTAGTCTCATGCCCTTCATGTACAACTTGTCTTAATTATCTACCAAATTGCCGTGAATACAGTATTTTGTGGACATTATTGAATTCATAACAGGTTAATGAAACAATTCGGATGGGATGTTTTGCTGTCACTGGGAGGCAATACATATTTGGACGTTGGCAGTCAACTGGCGTTCTGAAGTTGGAGATTATTTATGAAACGTCGATTATGCTTTCATTGAAATTTTAGAACGATACATCAAATGAATGTAATGCATCCTGGAGAATATGGAGCAATGGAATCGGCTCGTGCGTAGGTACGGGGCGGATTATTGCCCCGCAGGATGGAGAGAGATGGCAGTAGCTTTTGTGAGGCCTTCATCCAGCAGTGGATTGACCATGGCCGATGATATTTATTATGACATTTTATCGCTGTTTAGTGATCAATAAAGCATCTTGTAAGACACTTTATTTTGCATCCTTGCAAGCCAGTGCAATCGCTATAAGTGGGAAGTTCAGGCCTTTCCTCCATTACATATGCCAAGTGCACAATGCACAGAGGTCATTGCCCTTTCCCCGTGACATCAGTGAGCTGGATGAGGGGGGAGGGGGGGGATCAGCGTTGTCTTAAGGAGGCTTTTCTGATCAGCACGCCACACTCCGATCTATCATCGCTTTGGCAGCATTGTTAAGCCTCTGTGGTGAGTGCGTGTCATCTCACACGGCTCCTCTCAGTGCTGACAGAGCAGTTGAGCCAATCGTGTTGCAGCATCTAAAAATCCTGTTCCTCTCCTCAACCAGTCAAACGCGCCGTAGCAGGAAAATAGCAAATGCTCATGCCGCCAGATTTGTCTTGCATTTTCTGATTTTGCTTGGGACCCTTTTTGTCGTTGTCATGAGATCAGGCTAAAGGTGAAGCCCCACAATCACTCACTCGTACCACTGCTTGCGGGCCTCCACTAGAGGGAGGCTCTAGGGAGCTGCTATTGAGGGTATTTGGCCTACTCTTCCATGCTCGCTAGACGTATATGTATGTACATATGTGTGCATGTTGAACTTATTTCGCAAGCCGCTCTAGTCGGAGGTGCGGTTTTGGAAGAGGTGGGCATTACCCACACTTTAACCCACCATGTGCGGACTTCCGGTCAACGAACTCGCTGTCCCTGCTGGTTTTTTAATTGGACGCTCGGCCATTTCTTGGGACTGCGCTTCAAAGGGCACAGCGAGGCTACGTGCGATTGATCGCAAGAGAGGTGAGAGCCGCAAAGATCCAGATGCGGAGGGCTACTCACTAGCCTGCCAACATTGTGGGCTGAATATTGAGGGCGTGCAGTTACGCGAATATCTGTAGAGTGAATAAATGACACATCTTCCCACGGTTCCATTTCGTAGAGCTCTGAAGTTTTGAGGTTTCCGTAGCCTTGATTATAATTCCCGTTTTCGACTTTATTCGCGTGTGAATGTGTGTGTGAATAATCGGCTCTGTCCGCACAAAGTCCTACCTGAATACACCTGAAGTATAAATATGTTTAAAGTGACTGTTGCTCACTGCCATCGAAAGTCGTTAAGGAAATATTTATCTGCAACAGATTTCAATCATTCGCTTGCTGGTTGTGAAGGCACTGTGCGCATAATCCACCATTTTGAAAGCACCTCCGATTAGCACAGTTGGCTTCGTTACGATACGAAATACGTTATACATACATACACAACCCATGGTGGTGCCACTGGGCAACAGTACAACACGTAGATTGCTGACTGTGCGGGCGGTCAGTTATCCCAAGTAGCAACCTCTCCTGGTTAAGGATTATGCATTCGAAACCTTAGAGCTGGTTTTGTCAGTGTCCTCTGACTTTGGAAGCAGCAATTTCTGCACCGTGGACTGTGCCCTGTGCTCCCAAAGAGCAAATCTTCCCACAAAAGAACTGTCAATCTCCCTCGGCCCCAGGCCGAGGGAGATTGACAGTTCTTTTGTGTTTCTTCCATTTGCGAATAATCGCACCAAATGTTGTCACCTTCTCACCAAGCTGCTTGGCGATGGTCTTGTAGCCCATTCCAGCCTTGTGTAGATCTACAACCTTGTCCCTGACATCCTTGGAGAGCTCTTGGTCTTGGCCATGGTGGAGAGTTTGGAATCTGATTGATTGATTGCTTCTGTGGACAGGTGTCTTTTATATAGGTAACAAGCTGAGATTAGGAGCACTCCCTTTAATAGTGCTCCTAATCTCAGCTCGTTACCTGTATAAAAGACACCTGGGAGCAAGAAATCTTTCTGATTGAGAGGGGGGTCAAATACTTATTTCCCTCATTAAAATACAAATCAATGTATAACATTTTTGACATGCCTTTTTCTGGATTTTGTTGTTGTTATTCTGTCTCTCACTGTTCAAATAAACCTACCATTCTAATTATAGACTGATCATTTATTTGTCAGTGGGCAAACGTACTAAATCAGCAGGGGATCAAATACTTTTTTCTCTCACTGTACATACTCGTCACCACCGCACTGCCCTTGCACCGACCACCACAGCTCACTCGGCACTGACTGTCACCCGCTCGGTGGACGCTGGGGCCGTCTCACCGAAATCTCCACAATTTGAGACTCTCACCAATTAGCACGGTTGGCTACGTATGTAAGTAGAACTTATTTCGCACCGTACATAGTCAACGGTGCTAATCGGAGGTGCGAAGGAAGATCAACAAGCATACGGCTGCAGAATGATCCGTTATATACATTAAAAAAAATGAACTCTTCCCACAATGCATCACGGCTCGCTCGTGTCCGTGTGTGGCCTAGGCCTGGCCCGGGCGAAGTCGGTGCCCACGAAGACATACTCCAATGAGGTGGTGACGCTGTGGTACCGGCCGCCCGACGTCCTGCTCGGCTCCACCGAGTACTCGACGCAGATCGACATGTGGTGAGCGTTGCACTGGGGCAACGATGCAGCGGCAGGAGGAGCTCTGCCACGGACAACGAACAACTCGACACACAACACTGTGTGGCCGTAAATGGAAAAAAAAGAAAAAATATGTTATTGGTGACGTTTTCGGGCAATGGGCCTTCTTCATAGCACATGTAATCTTATATTTTATAGATATATGTAGCGCCTTATTCCAAGGCGCTTTATGGCAATTACAGTATTCCCTCGTTATTCACGAACTCGCTGTCTGCAACTCGCATCTGGAACTCTACACCACTCCATCGAGATAAAAAAAGTAATGAGATAAAGTGATGAGATGAAGTGATGAGATGAAATGATGAGAGATGATACATTGTATGTATTTAATAGCTTTAGTATGTATTTACTTCAGGCAATTAATAAAAAACATAGATTTTTGTCGGCCAATATCGTTATACGCTAAATATTCGCGAGCATCTCCGGAAGGTATCCCTCGCGAATAACGAGGGAATACTGTATGCAATTGTGTTTAAGATATTAGTGGTTTAAGTAGTAAGTGGGGTTATTAAAAAGTGGTGGTGCAGTAATGGCCATCATCGGCCGAAATGTCACGAATTACATTTTCCTCATTTTCCTTGTGCGTGTGCACCGCTGCCAACGCAGCATCGCCACGGAGTTACTTCCACAAATACCGGGGCATGTCACTATTTGACCTTGCAATGAAGGAAAACTGAAGCTTACGGGGCCATTTCCCAGCATTCACTTTGGTGCGAAATTAACTAACACAAAGCTCGCAAATGACTAAATTGGAAGGAAAAAAATCCACACCACAACAACATCGCCCCCCACCCCTCCCCTACTGGCACACTCGTGCACATTTGCAGGCCAGTTCTGCGCGCACGTTGTAAGAACAAGACAGCTGCCACTGGTGGCGGGGGGGGGGTCCCTTTGTTAGACTGTTGCAAGGCATTGGAATGGTTGAGATGAGATGTAAGCCGCTAAGAGTGTTTGAGGCATTTAACCCTTTCCCATTCCGTAGACGTCTGCAAGTCACAGAGCGTTGGTGTTCCGTAGACGTCTACAAGTCACAGAGCGTTGGTGTTCCGTAGACGTCTACAAGTCGCAGAGCGTTGGTGTTCCATAGACGTCTACGAGTCACAGAGCGTTGGTGTTCCGTAGACGTCTATTAGTCACAGAGCGTTTGTGTTCCGTAGACGTCTACAAGTCACAGAGCGTTTGTGTTCCATAGACGTCTATGTGTTCCATAGACGTCTACGAGTCACAGAGTGTTGGTGTTCCGTAGACGTCTACGAGTCACAGAGCGTTGGTGTTCCATAGACGTCTATAATTCACAGAGCGTTGGTGTTCCGTAGACGTCTACAAGTCACAGAGCGTTGGTGTTCCATAGACGTCTATAAGTCACAGAGCGTTGGTGTTCCGTAGACGTCTACAAGTCACAGAGCGTTGGTGTTCCGTAGACGTCTACAAGTCACAGAGCGTTGGTGTTCCGTAGACGTCTACAAGTCACAGAGCGTTGGTGTTCCATAGACGTCTATAAGTCACAGAGCGTTGGTGTTCCGTAGACGTCTACAAGTCACAGAGCGTTGGTGTTCCGTAGACGTCTACAAGTCACAGAGCGTTGGTGTTCCGTAGACGTCTACAAGTCACAGAGCGTTGGTGTTCCGTAGACGTCTACGAGTCACAGAGCGTTGGTGTTCCGTAGACATCTACGAGTCACAGAGCGTTGGTGTTCCATAGACGTCTACAAATCACAGAGCGTTGGTGTTCCGTAGACGTCTACAAGTCGCAGAGCGTTGGTGTTCCGTAGACGTCTACAAGTCGCAGAGCGTTGGTGTTCCGTAGACGTCTACAAGTCACAGAGCGGTGGTGTTCCGTAGACGTCTACAAGTCACAGAGTGTTGGTGTTCCATAGACGTCTACGAGTCACAGAGCGTTGGTGTTCCGTAGACGTCTACAAGTCACAGAGCGTTGGTGTTCCATAGACGTCTACGAGTCACAGAGCGTTGGTGTTCCGTAGACGTCTACAAGTCACAGAGCGTTGGTGTTCCGTTCACCGCTGAATCTCGGAACACGGTTCATGGTTAATTGTATTTAGAGAGGCGTAGTGCCGCTGTTTTTAAAGACATTGTACTCACCGCAGAGAACCGTAGCGACACGACCGCAATCTACGATAGCTCGCGCAAAACTGTGCCACACGCCCTCCCGCATGGCCTTGTGGGAGCCTCGGTACCGATAACTTTATTTTATTTTAGTTTTTCTTCCAGTTTCGTTTTGATGACGTACACACTCGTCATCGGAACGGGAAAGGGTTGTCCTCTACATGCAGATACAAATCCTTATCCCACCTCATGGGAGCACTGGGGCAGTGCTTGTGTCTGTCAGTGGCCCTGAGCCAGGGGTGGAACCTCTCCGCACTTGCTACGTGGGGATCAGTCTCTCCGTAAGAAGATCGCTATTCACTGCAAAACAAAGTGGTACTTAATGTATCTACCCCGGAGTGATACCTACTCGATCAACTCCCTATGAAAAATTGAACTTGCAGCCTTCCAGTTGTGAGGCATGCTGCCCAACCAGGTCATGCAATCAGTAGATGGTGATGTCATATGGAGGTATGGAAAGATTTTACAGCGTGAAGTTAAGCTTCGAATTCCAATCAAATAACCTTTTGGACCTTCTTTGGTTCTTTCGGTAAAGTCACGTAGAATGAGAATAAAATAATAAATTGATAAAATAAAATAACACAATAATATTCTCACGACGTTTCGGCCACAACACAAGCGGCCTTCATCAGATGAAGGGACGAGACTGTCTGGTAGGACAGCGCTGTCCTACCAGACATTTTATTGTGTTATTTTATTTTATCAATTTATTATTTATTCTCATTCTACATGACTTTACCGAAAGAACCAAAGAAGATGAATCATTGCAGTCACGAAAGCTTTAAATCGAAACCTTTTGGACATTTTGAGTGAATTTGGGAGATGTTTCTGGGGAACGAGTCACAGTGGAACAGATTTTGACTCCAAATTCCGTTATTTTGCTGTTCACCACATTTGCACCGTGCACTGCCCCTCTGTGTGTGCGCGTCTGCACGAGCTATCCTCAGCGGCGTCCATGTGACACCTCCCATTAGCACGGTTGGCTAAGTACTGTGTGAAAGAAGTTGAACGTACATGGCGTCTCCCTCTGAGTCACGTCCTTTCTCTAAGACGTCGGCGATCATGGCCCTCCTTCCACTTCTACTCCTGTCCACGACGTTACGCAAGAACGTTGCGTCAGATACTCCCAGGCACATACAGTTGTCCAAATGAGCTCGTGAAACTCAATTTTCTGTCTCGCCCCCGGCTTCTTTGCACCCATCACTTTCCCAACATTACGTTCCGAGCCTTTTTTCGTTTTCATTACGATGTCGGGCTGCCTCCCTCCCCTCCCCATCTCCTTGCAGGGGCGTGGGCTGCATATTCTTTGAGATGGCGGCAGGACGACCCCTCTTCCCCGGCTCCACCGTGGAGGACGAGCTGCACCTCATCTTCAGGATGCTGGGTAACGCTCGCGCTGGGCATGAGTGCGCGTGCTGCTGCTATGCCGCACGTTGTTCGAGCAACCTCGTGCCGCACACAGACAGCTGCCTCTGGGGGTGACCTTTTTGAGATGTTTGAGATGAGATACTGATGCAAGTCGTTTATCGTGCGCGCTCGGAAGTGCGCTGGGATGCCCCATCTGTGACATTGTAAAAGGGCTCTCGAACTGACACTCGCAAAGTTTCCCAGCATTGTTGCCATCAGCTGAGATTTAAGCTCAGAAACCAATTCTGAGTTGAGCGCTGAACACGGGGCCACCTTGCCTGAAGGACAAATAAGGAAGATGATTGGTAACTGCAGGCAATAAACGTGTCATGACTTTGACACTCGCGCACCGCTCGCCGACCGCGCTTGCATTCTTGCTGCAGGCTCGCCGAGAGAGGACATGTGGCCGGGGATTTCGTCAAATGAAGAGTACAAGTCCTACAATTTCCCCAAGTACCGCTCCGAGCCTATGATCACCCACGCACCACGGTACGTATCCTGGCGCATCCTGCCCTCTTACCTCTGGACTCTCATTTGAGGATTTTTCAACCCTCAAATGATCGAAGCCACGACCTCCTGTATACCAGGCGAGGTAGTTCACATCTTGCCACTGTGGCGATCGGCCATGAATGGGGGCGTTTCAAACGTTCCTCCAGGTGTCGCCCACGATTCATCACCCAAGCCAGGCGGCCTCCTGCGCAGGCTTCATGTCCACACCACTGAGCGCGACCACGATCTGTCAGCAGCAGCAGCAGCAGGTTGAACGAGGCCGTCCCCTTGTTCCGGATCTAGGTGTAATTACTGTGGGCGGAAAATAAATAAACAAATATTCCACGCGAGTTAAATGCTCTTATCACGTGTGAAAATGCAGTGGATGAAACTCTGTGGGAGGAGGGAAGACATTTAAGACCCGAGGGCAGTGCTCCGACTTGGGCATTCTCCCCATGACTTCCGCCAAGGCTTGGATGTAAATGCCCCCTGTGCCAAAAAGTGAATCGAACTCTCGTGTGTCCCACCAATTATTTGCGTTGTGCTTGTTCACCAAGAAAAGCCTCGCTGAGTCTCAAGGCTACATTTCAGGAGAGTCCTGCCAATATTTTTGCAGCAAGGGGGGCCATGTTGCAGTGTGTAATCTCAATTGAGTAATTTGCAGGACTTTTATATTTTTACCATTGGGATGTTTGGTCAATGCCAGTTACATTGTAAGTTTTTTTTTTGCTTTGGGAGAAAATCGGAGAACCCGCAAGAAACTCATGCGGAACAGGTGGAGAACAAACAATCTCTGTGCAGAAAGGCACCCGTGTCAGGAATCGAACCAAGGTCCTTGTGTAAGGCACAAGTGTTACCCAATGCGCCACCCCTGCCACCAAATGCGTCAACGAATGAGCGCGCGAGCGACTGTCAAGTTGGCGACGTTGAGTCTTGCCCGCCGCACTGAGACGCTGAGTGTCGCTGACGGCCGCGCGTGCGATGTGTTTACGTTTGTGCAGGTTGGACGTCGACGGGCTGGATCTGCTCTCAAAGTTCCTGCTGGTAAGAGCGTCGACGCCGATTGGTGCGAGTGGGGCGCCTGTGGTACAATAAAAGCGGACTGTGACAGGAATCGCCGATCTTGCTGATGTTAGCCAATCAAATGAGGGGGTGTGTCACATGACTACCCGATCCAAGTATTGCTTGCCAATTATTCGATCACCAATCCATCGACATTTTCAAGATGGCTGCCCGATCAACTTTGGATCGACTGAGCGGAAACGGTACGACGACTAATCCAGATTCACGATCCACAATTGAGTATATATGAGCAAAAAGACACGCCCCCTTCAGCCAACACCACGCCTACTTCCATATACGGGCAAATCTCTGATCGGTGATTTTGTTGGGTGTCCGATTTCATCGTATTACAGCGCCTTGTCATGATGGACATAATGCGGACACTGTTGTGATGCACATAGTGTCCGGCGTGCACACTCGCTGGTGTGTCAGGTCATGCGCTCGGAGTCCAGTAGAGCCCCTCTTAACGAGCATCCCTGTTAACGACTAATCACTTAATGACGGGTCTCCATCGAGCCCAATGTTTTCGGTAACCGACCATTCACCTGTTCACGACGTGTTGTAGGAATAGTGAATACTAATTAATGCATTGATTAACCATATTTATTTTAATGTGTTTATAATCTTGTTAATATCTTTATATATTCATGTCCATTGTTTAAATATTAAAAAGTACGTTTTTTGGGTGAAAATGGGTAACTTTCGATGCTGTCGGAACTAATTAAGCCTTTAACGTGCATTTCCTATACTCGCTTAACGACCAAATCACTTAACGACCGGTGTTGTGGAACCAATTACCGTCGTTAAGAGGGCTTCTGCTGTATAGGAGGAGGTAATGATGACACAGCCCTACAACTTCTCGCTTACGCCACCGTTGATGGAAGGGCCTCAGCTGGAGAGAGCTCAGTAGAGACCCGCGAGATGGTATTTGACCGACTCTTTCGCAATGGCTTCGATGTCGTGGCAGATGCGAGTACCTCCACACTTTACCCGACCATGCGGCTTGTCAGTCGAATAACTGCTCTGTTTGACGCGTAGCCTTTCGTGACCAATGTTATTCACAATGAAGGTTAGGTCGCGGAAATATAAATGTGTTGTTAAACCCGCCACCACCCGACACAGCCAATTAGTAAGGTTTGTCACGTAAACTAAACATGCCAATTCGTTACTAATACAGCACACTGGTGAGTTGGAGAGTAAACCCACAACATTTACAATTGGAGTACGACGTTCCGCTGCTGATTACAACCAGCATCATCAGGCGATTAGCCAGAATTGTGAAGACGTCTTCCTATTTCGGTATGCCTTTTTAGTAAAGGTGATATCATCATATCATCACCCTGAGCCTATCAGGCACGAATACCAGAGGGGGTGAATGTAGCAATATAAATTACAACAGTGCTCTAGCCACGTACACTTGTGGGTGGACAGAGGCAGTGGGGTGGGATTTAAGAAACTCTATTGTCTCGACCGCCGCGCCGGGAAATTTAACCGGCGACCTCTGGATCGCCAAAGCCCAGCGTGCTGACCATCGCGGAAACATCCCTGGCCACTTGTATTGTACACGTTTATTGGCCAGCATGCGGGATCACCTTGTGTGTGCGGAGGGCACATGGGTTTGGCCCACCACGTGGTTCACGTTGAGTGTGCTCGGGGCTACCTCGTATATTCTGGAGGTCGGGCAAAGAGTTTACGGGCCACCGGCGTCCTGCGGTGTTGGTCCCGTTGGTCGTGTTCCATCGGGGGTTTGACCTTTAACCCGAATAAGAATTTACAGGAATATATACAACTATTTGTTTCACCCACAAGTTACTAAAGCTGAACTAAATTTGTATTTTTTTTATTTTACCCAGGTTAAGGCCCACTGAGCTATACCGCTCAATCTCAGAAGCGACCTGCCCACAAACGAGAGCCCAATGAAGAGGCTCATCATGTGGAAATGTATAGCAGCCAAATACTCTACACGCCTTTAACACGAAATTGATAATTCGATAAACTATTCCATGTTGAGCATCCATCGAGTTGTCTTTTTGCCAATTTAAGTCTGTTTGCGGGTTAGACATCGTAGGAGGCATATAAGCAGTTCCACGACTTAGGATGTACATTTGTGACACTTGAAGCATGTGTATATTTACAAGTATCATCATGAAGTGGTGTTTACTTGGACACAGTGTGTATCATAAATTAGGGCTGGAATTCAGATTAAAAAAAAAAATTGTCCACTCATGTCGAAAAGGGAATCACAGTTCACAACAAAAACAACCTCGACACATTCGTCAATAACACTGTGGCCTTAACCAAAAAAGTATATATCAAAGACGACGTTTGGGGCAATGAAGCGTCTCCATGCCATAGAGGCAGTGTTATTGATGAATGTGTTGTTCTGGATTGAATGAATCATGACGACCGCAGACTCGTGTCTGAGATCAGCAGCCATGCTCCCAAGCCAAGTTCAGAAGTCATGCCCAAAGAGCAATGACATCATGCCATGACGTCATGCTACAACGCAATTATGCAATCCCCATACCATGTGACTCCTCCAACATGTGTTGGAGTTTAAAAAAATTATTATTTTCTCAATGAAGGACAGTTGCTCATAGAGTAACGCGGTGTCAGACGTACCTCAGGCAAAGCGGACCTTTTCATCTGCTCTGGGTTGGTGAGGGTGCATTTAGTTGCGTGCACGTGTCCGAACATTGATGTATTCCCTAAAATGAGACGTACGTTCAAAAACTGTCATTAACTATCAAAAAGACGTACGTTATGAACCGAGCATTATTGCATTCCAAAGCACACCCCACGTGTATTGTTCTTATTATTCCGACGATTTTTTTACATTTGCCACCGAGGTCTGCCTTTTTTTTGCCCAACTTGCGATTTGCAGATTTTTTTAAATCAAATGAAACGCAGCCATTGTATTGCACGCTTGTATGTGTGTGCGTTGAACTTCCTTCGCACCGTACATTACCAACCCATGCTAATCGCCGCCCTGAGTGAGACTTGCGCATCTCCCCCCCCCTCCTCCCCGTGCTGTTCCCAGTACGAAGCCAAAGCGAGGATCTCGGCGGAGGATGCCCTGAAGCGTCCCTACTTCAAGAGTTTCGGGGAAGAGGTGCACTCCCTCCCAGACAGTGAGTGTGTTGCCGTGAGCATCGTCTTACCTTACATTTACATGGCGCTTTTATCCGAGGCGCTTTACAATGCTTATGAGTGGTACAATTAGGGTAACTAAAAGTGATGCGGTGAATAGGGATGGGGTATGGAGAGGGAGGTTTATTGGGTACAGGAATTACAGTGGGTGCCCAGGAAAAGAGGGAAGGATGGGCCAGAGAGAGGAGGTGGGAGTCTTGAGGGAGGAGCGGAAACTCGACAGGGGGAGGATGCTACTTGCTTCATGTGGAGGGGAAGTTCGCTCCAGTGCAAGGTGCCAAGTAGGGAAAATGAGTGGAGACGGTGATTGTGCAGGAGGAGAGGGGGGAATGGTGAGGAGCGGTGGGAGAGATTGAGAGCGGAGCGGGCGGGGAGGGGACATCAAACGAGACGAGGGAAGCGAGGTAAGGTGGGTCGTCGTCATCATCGCAATCGACCATCGACGCCACCGTCATCAACAAGATTATCATCGTGGTCGTTTTCGTATTGCACGATATTCAGTAACGGCAACAAGAAAAGTTGTCACCTCCGATGAGCACGGTTGGCTACGTGTACGGTGTTGGAGCATCAATCCCCGGTTCTGCGCGCGTGCGTGTGTTCCCTCCCCCGTGTTTCCACTCGTGCTCAGTCATTTCAGTGTTTGCTCTGAAGGAGGTGGAGCTTCAGAAGGACCCTGGCCACAGGATGTCCTCCTACCAAGAATCTGGTAAGACAGACAACGGTGGCTGTGAAGGCCCCCACCACCACCACCACCACTCAGTAAACTCTCTCCACACAGCAATATATCTGCCTCCGCACGAGTGAACTTTAATAATTTTTATTCATTTTCTAAGCTTCTATGAAAGTCTACTTTGTTCAACTGTCTTATCTCTTCCATTTCCCTTCAGCTCTCATGTGTGCCTTCCTCCCTTTGTTTTTGTTTCTCTCGTTTGCTTTTGTCCGGTAGCATTTCTGGCTGATGCCTCCTCCTCCACCTCCTCCTCCACCCCAATTGACAAGCACCTTGGCATGGCCACTAGCCGCTCACTCTATCAGTGCACCAACAGTTAGGATCTGCTCTTCGCTTCAAGACATGCCCTCTGCCGGTAACAGCATCTGCTAACGCACCGTTCTCTGCGTTTCGTCGAGTCACAGTTTGGAGAAGGGAATTTTGCTGAAATGTTCCTTTTGCTGCGCCCGCGTAGACGCTTACAAAGTCAACGAGGAAGGTTGTGTATGTACAATGTGAATATAGTGGGGAGCTTAGAGCGGCACTTTCCATAAACGCAATCGACGACTACAAATAGTAATAACACCATGTAACACGATTTTTGTCCCTGGGTAGTAAGTGTTATTTTTTATTGCTTATGCCTAATAAGTATAGAAAATGGCTATTATTCCCCACAAACTTTGCTTTTGTGACCAGGACTTTATGTGAAGGAATGACACTAATGCACACCACGTTTTCTCATTGAAAATAGGTAAATTTCAAAATATCACTGTCCTGGTCACAAAAGCAAAGTTTGTGGAGAATAATAGCCATTTTCTGTACTTTTGAGGCATAACCAATTACGAAATAACACTTACTACCCAAGAACAAAAAAAAAAAGCTTTGTTACACAGTGCACTATCAAGAATGAGGGTTTGGACACCAGGGCTGTCCAGCTGCCCTCGAATTACAGTGCAGGGAATGAGACTCAGTTCGTCCAGCATGCCGTGTGGCAGCGTCATCGCTCGATTACTCGTCCCATCCGGTGGTCCCCTTCCACCCTACAGATGGAATGGCCGTCAAAATGCGCCACGGAGGCAAAGCCGCCAAGCGACGGCTCCAGCGCCGTCGTTAGACGTTGCTTCTTTTGACCGAACGCTTTCTTAAGTTGGCCACGGAGAGCCGTCAATTTACACATTGAATCGGGATATGAATCTAATTTAATATGGTCAGACCTAAATTTTGATTTAAAGCTTTCGTGACTGCAGGGATTTATATGCTTGGTTCTTTCGGTAAAGTCGCCGTGTAGAAGGGAAACAATAAAATAATGCAACACGTGACTTTACCGAAAGAACCAAGAATATGGTCTGACCTGTTTAGTAAATTGGGGTGCATCGTAACGTGCCAAAGGTATATGATTTTTTGTTATAGTGCCGATTACATGATTTATTGCTCGGGAGTTATTACATCGCAGGACAGTGAAATATGGTGACAAATTGTTGAGACCTTCGTCCAACAGAAGATTATGGCCGATGATGATGATGATGATGATTTGGGAGGATATAAAAGCAATGGTTCATATGCTCGGTGTGAAGCTTATCGGAGTTATAATCGGGGTTACAGAGAGATGCAGGTAAATTGCAAATGTACATGGATACACTTGCACGTGGAAACAAATGTTGAATTGCTGTGCAAATGGATGTCAACCCTGGTGTGTGACCTTGTTGAAACGGGGGGGGGGGGATAATACCAGGACACGGGGAGAGCACAACTACAGTCAATGTTAAACTAAATTGACCGAGAATCTAAAAGCGGGTCTGAACCATTAGCAGACACTCCAGGGCTGATAGGCATTTAAACGATTTGAATCGTGGCCATGAATTTTGCAATGGCTAGTAAACAGACCAACGTGCACACGGATTTGAAAAGTCTTATTTATATTGGGCCAGTTCCTCAAGGCTGTTATTTGGATACATTTTTTAAAATTAAATCAGAGAATGATATCGATTTTTGCAAAACGTAATTGGACGATGAATATCAAAAGAGCAATGTGGACTCTTGGGGCCTTGTAGGGAGGCATTCATCCTGCGGTGGACAGCCCATGGTTGATGTTGAAGATGATGAGTCCTGCTCGGAGTACTGCAGTTTACTTGCGTGTCATTATTGCTTAAATAATTTGTTTAATCTCTGATTAATATTTTGCTGCATTGCTCTACTTGTTTTGATTTTGCTATTTGGTGACCCACGGTGGCTAGGAGATGTTAACTACCTCGCCTGGTACACAGGAGGTCGTGGGTTTGAGCGCGACCCTGACGCCTGCTGCTCCTGTATATTTGGGAGTTTGCGTGTCTCTCTCTATAGAGATGTTAACTACCTCGCCTGGTACACAGGAGGTCGTGGGTTTGAGCGCGACCCTGACGCCTGCTGCTCCTGTATATTTGGTGTTTGCGTGTTCTTCCCGTGGTCACGTGGATTTCTCTCCAGGTCCTCTGGTTTTTCTGTCCACATTTAGAATCAACGTGCATTTTGAGTATTTGGCTGATATAAAATTTCCACGTGATGAGGCACTGAGTTGAGCTGTCATTTGTGGCCAGGTTGCTTCTGAGAAAGAGCTGTATAGCTCAGTGGGCCTTACCTGCTGAAATTAAAAAAAAAAACTGTTAATAGTTACAGTGAGGGAAAAAAGTATTTGATCCCCTGCTGATTTTGTACGTTTTCCCACTGACAAAGAAATGATCAGTCTATAATTTTAATGGTAGGTTTATTTGAACAGTGAGAGACTGAATAACAACAAAAACATCCAGAAAAACGCATGTCAAAAATGTTATAACTTGATTTGCATTTTAATATGGGAAATAAGTATTTGACCCCCTCTCAATCATAAAGATTTCTGGCTCCCAGGTGTCTTTTATACAGGTAACGAGCTGAGATTAGGAGCACACTCTTAAAGGGAGTGCTCCTAATCTCAGCTTGTTACCTGTATAAAAACACCTGTCCACAGAAGCAATCAATCAGATTCCAAACTCTCCACCATGGCCAAGACCAAAGAGCTCTCCAAGGATGTCAGGGACAAGATTGTAGACCTACACAAGGCTGGAATGGGTTACAAGACCATTGCCAATCAGCTTGGTGAGAAGGTGACAACAGTTGGTGCGATTATTTGCAAATGGGAGAAACACAAAAGAACTGTCAATCTCCCTCGGCCTGGGGCTCCATGCAAGATCTCACCTCGTGGAGTTGCAATGATCATGAGAACGGTGAGGATTCAGCCCAGAACTACACGGGAGGATCCTGTCAATGATCTCAAGGCAGCTGGGACCATAGTCACCAAGAAAACAATTGGTAACACACTACGCTGTGAAGGACTGAAATCCTGCAGCGCCCGCAAGGTCCCCCTGCTCAAGAAAGCACATATACATGCCCGTCTGAAGTTTGCCAATGAACATCTGAATGATTGAGAGGAAAACTGGGTGAAAGTGTTGTGGTCAGATGAGACCAAAATGGAGCTCTTTGGCATCAACTCAACTCGCCGTGTTTGGAGGAGGAGGAATGCTGCCTATGACCCCAAGAACACCATCCCCACCGTCAAACATGGAGGTGGAAACATGCTTTGGGGGTGTTTTTCTGCTAAGGGGACAGGACAACTTCACCGCATCAAAGGGACGATGGACGGGGCTATGTACTGTCAAGTCTTGGGTGAGAACCTCCTTCCCTCAGCCAGGACATTGAAAATGGGTCGTGGATGGGTATTCCAGCATGGCAACGACCCAAAACACACGGCCAAGGCAACAAAGGAGTGGCTCAAGAAGAAGCACATTAAGGTGGCCTAGCCAGTCTCCAGACCTTAATCCCATAAAAAATCTGTGGAGGAAGCTGAAGGTTCGAGTTGCCAAACGTCAGCCTCAAAACCTTAATGACTTGGAGAAGATCTGCAAAGAGGAGTGGGACAAAATCCCTCCTGAGATGTGTGCAAACCTGGTGGCCAACTACAAGAAACGTCTGACCTCTGTGATTGGCAACAAGGGTTTTGCCACCAAGTACTAAGTCATGTTTTGCAGAGGGGTCAAATACTTATTTCCCTCATTAAAATGCAAATTAATTTATAACATTTTTGACATGCGTTTTTCTGGATTTTGTTGTTGATATTCTGTCTCTCACTGTTCAAATAGACCTACCATTAAAATTATAGACTGATCATTTCTTTGTCAGTGGGCAAACGTACAAAATCAGCAGGGGATCAAATACTTTTTTACCTCACTGTAGTAGTTCAGTTTAAGACGTAGGCTTTTGCGACAAATATTATTCTACTAATTAACTGATTACTAATGTAGCATATAATCACAATAACACACATTACAACTAATTACCAATCTACAACTCATTACTAATCATAACCATTGACTGATTACCAATCGATTATATAATTACAATACCCCCCCCTCCGCCTCAAATCACTGCACCTGAATGAGTTAGATGATGACGTCACCCTGCTGCTCTATTTAAGGCCGGGAGCAAGTGAGGGCTTTACCATTCTGACGAATTGATCGATGATGCTGGATGTAATTACCAGCGAAACGTCGTACTCAAACTGTAAATGTTGTGGATTCACTCTTCAACACACCGGTGGCCTAAAGTAGTGAACTATTTGTCTGTTGTCAACGTGACACTTTTTTGCTGATTGGCCGTGTCGGGTGGTGGAGGGTTATAAATAACGCGATCTAACCCTAAAACGTTTATTATGACGTTAGTAGTTCAATCTTGAATAAGAGTCTATTCTGTTCCGTGAGTTTCTCACCTTGTTTTAAACCAAATAAATGTGGCTTTGTTGAATAACAAGCAATGGCCACTCTCAACAGAGCCTAAAGGAGCACTGGCACGTTTTAGGTGAACGCAGCTGATTGGCATGGCTCCAGAGGTAGTTCAGAGGCTCCCATCAGAGCCGGGTGGTGGTAGCTATGCACGCCTGTGATCCAGCACTGTGGAGGCAAGGGTTGGTGGATTACACGCAGATGCTGTGAAACTCTCTTTCCGTCGTCGTTGAGATGCCCATACCCTGGCTTGCGAGGAGAATGCAGTGCGGCAAATGTGGACCCCACCTGTTCCATCTGTATGGGGATCGAGTGTTTCCCCCCCCCCCTAGCACGCGTGAGTTTTCTCTGGGTGCTCCTGTTTCTTCCCACACGTAAGCACGCGTTAATTGGCCGATGACACCTTCATATATAGAGGACCGCAGAGGCTGTGCATTTCATAGCACCTGCTCGTTGCATGTCTACCTTCCCCGCTTGTCTCTGGTATCCCTCTCGCGCCTCTAATGAGTGAGCGAATACTGCGCGGCATGTTTCGAGTTGAAATTATTATTGCCTTTCAGAACCGTGATGGTTTGCTGCTGGTTGTAAGAAATGCATAAATATTAAGTAAGAAAAAATGCTTGGTAAAGTAATTGTAGATGTTAATACTGCATGTACGGTGGTGTATTTTTCATAAGATCATCTTTGATTAAAAAAAAATATATATACAATTCAGTTCAATCCATCAATTCACAAATTGCGCTCACATTATTGACAACGTCACCTCGCCTAACAACAGGTTTCGTAATCCAAAGGTTTTTGACCCATGTCAGTCGGCGATCGTAAACCCCTCTTCCTTGCGTCGACAAACACGTTGATTGACGCATCACAAAACGAGCGTGGCCCAAAGAAAAGAACCGCCGAATCGTTTGCCTCGTGACCTCTTCTCCGGCGGGTCGATGCGCGCGTGCGTGTATTCGGAGGTCCGTGGCACTAATTGCACACGCGCGATGTGTGTCATTCTCTTGCAGCGCACGGCAAGAACAGAAGACAGAGCATGCTGTTCTGAAGGTGGAGAGAATGGATTTGAGAAACGACGACCGCAGGGGCCCAGAAGGCATCTTGCAGATCATCTTCCCCCTCGAAGGCTTTTTCCCGTTCTTCGAACAGTAACCACCCTCTGCGGGGACCCGTGGCTGAGCGCTCGTCGTCCAGACCACTGCACAGTTTGTGGTAATGCTTTGTTATCTTACTTGCTCCTCTTCCTCCTCCGTTAGCGTGACCGAGTCAACCCCCTCGCCCCCCCCCCCCCCCTGTAGCTCACTGTGAACGTTCGTCACGAGTAACGCGTGCAATCGTGTTGTTGTTGTCGTCATTGTTGTTGTTTTTTCCTCCCGCCGCGTGTCATCCCCGGTGAGCGCGTCGCGAGCAACGAAACTTCGGCCCGGGCGGCGTCACGCTGCCGAACGTAGCCCCACCCACCCCCCCACACCCCCACCCCCCCACACCCCCCCACACCCCCACTCCCCCACACCCCCCCACACCCCCACACCCCCCCACACCCCCCACACCCCCACTCCCCCACACCCCCCACACCCCCACTCCCCCACACCCCCACTCCCCCACACCCCCACACCCCCACTCCCCCACACCCCCCACACCCCCACTCCACCCCACACCCCCCAAATCACCACCCACACCTCCACACCCCCCACACCCCCCACAACCCCCACGCCACCCCCACATCCACCCCCCCCCACCCCCCGTCCTCGTGACCACAACCTTCACATAGTGAGGAACGGCCAATACCCAAAACTCTTAACCAAAATGCACACACTGCCGTAATCCACATTTACCCTTGGCTTACGCACAAATCCCATGCACCGAGACGTAATCCTGAGACTCCGAGTCCGCTGTCTTTGGTTAATCCCCCTCCACAACCCCAAACCTGAGCCCTGAGCCATGACCCCCTAATCGCAACGTGTCACCTAACCCTCACCCCCCTCTGCCCCCCATCGCCCCCCATCCTGATTGTCAATGGCAGTGAGTGTGCGCGCTAATTTATTGTCTCTCGGCTTCATCGAATGCTCGATTAGCGAGCGAGCATCAAGATGACCACGGGTGCCGGGTTCAGGTTCCGCTGATTGGGACAGAGAAGAGAAAAGAAAAACACTGTTTGTGCTTCCTAACAACTTGTTTAATGAATGACGGCAGCAGTATTTTTGAGTCATGTGTTTGTCGTGTTTGCGTGTCTTCTCATAATTATATTTTTTAAAATCTGTATAGTCTTGAGAACTTGAGGGAAGGTTGTGTTGGTTCTTTGTGTGTGCGCGCACACATTAACTCTTGGGATCCTTTTTAGTTTTTTAAACCAGTGTTGCTCTATGTTCGTTTCTGTGTACAGAATGTACAGTGTTTGATTCTTAACGATCGTAACATATGCAGGCCGGTTATATATGAAGTCGGCTTCGTTATTATAGATCACATTTACAATGTTCGCGGGACGTTAACATAACCGCTCATTTGCTTCATAGTCCAAACATTTCTACGTCAGATGGCTTTGTCCACTTGACTTTATTGTAGGGGGTAGGCGGTAGGGCATGGGGAGGGGAGGGAAACGCAAGGTTTCTTACGAGGGAGTGAAAGTATTTTTGTGAGGTTTTTATTAACGGTAGCGTAACATCAATTTGTACGTGATTTTATGCGGACAACGATTTGATCTGAAAGCAGATGATGTCCAGTTTTTTGGAGTAAAATGTAAAACTAGTGTGAAACTGATGCAGAACTTCGTTACCCCCCCCCCCCCTGTCGCCACCACCCCCCACCCCCCCAAAAAAAAAAGTCCGTACATTTTTTTTGTGAACCACTTGTAGTCGATGGGAATTAAAAGATGTGCATTAACAGTGCAGATGTAAATGACAAGACGGGGGGGGGGACAGCACTACAGCTCGCCGCATGCTAATACGAATTTTTTCGTGTCCGTATTACCGCACTTGGTTTTGTTTGAAATTAATTTTGTTAGGTTTATTTTGTTGACTTTACAGTAAAAAAAAATGTTCTCTTTAAAAATTGGTGTAATGTATATTAGAAGAAGACACTAACTTTATTGTTCATAACTGTAAAAATAATAAGTTTGATTATCCAGTGTAATATTTTGTTGTCAAACTAACTTATTAACTTTCTTAGGTTATTGCTGTTTCAGTTTATGTTTTGTCCTTTTTATAACACTCCAAAGCACCCCGACCAACTGCTCTCTGGGCTCGGGACATTATCGCTTCCCGCCAATCAACGCCACTGGCCAGTTGCTCTCTAGAATGCCTTTTTATTCAAACTGTCATTTTTAATCTTGCCTGACCCTGACCCTTCTCAGTTCCATACCAACGTCTCTAAGTTCCCATACATTTTTGTAAGTGGGCCCAGTGATGCCATCTTATTTGCTTGGCACTGTGCTTAGGGGGGAGGCGGTCTTTTCACGCAGGTCGACCTCCACAAAGTTGTGACCTGCGAAGGAGGTCACCATGACTTGAAAGCCTCCACGTGGCAATCGCTAGGCCATGTTCAACGACTGCGTCACTGTCAAGAGGTCATTACGGTCTGCGCCGTTCTCCATAGCTTCCTTCCGCGAGATCCCACAACTGTGGTAGCTCTACAATATTGCGGCAAAGTACTGCATGAGGAAAAAAAAGAATCGTTGCCTAACTTTCCCCACCATTCCGTGAATAACCCGATGTGCAACAAAGGTTTTCTGATATCAGATTTGCACACATTACAGCCGCTACTACACCGGCCTCGCCTAGACTCCTGCCCCAGCAAAGGCGCACCCTCTTTGGGTTGGTCACTAGGCCTCAGTGGGTAGGGAGGAGGATGGGGTGGGGAAGTAAAGGGGGTGTATGTATGTATGTTGAACTTCTTTCGCACTGTACGTAGCCAACCATACTAATCAGAGGTGCGGGCGAAGGACAACAAACTAAACACAAAAAGCCATTCTTAAGAAATTAGTTTTTCAATCTAGATTTAAAAGTGTATAGCTCCAGTGGCTTCCTAACATGGGAAGGAAGAGCGTTCCAGATGGCCGCAGAAGCGCATCTGAAAGCACGCAATGCGGTGATTGTCTTTGTCCGATGCCCAGCCAAAAGCCCCTGTAAGGATGACCGGAGATCGCGTGATGGTTTATGCTCTTTGGCGAGATCGGCAAGGTATTGTGATTCATTTGTGGCAAGCACTTTGTGTGTAATGAGTTCGATCTTATAATTAATTTGTTGGGCAACCGGAAACCAATGCAGCTCAGCGAGCACTGGATGGACATGCTTGGATCTTGCAGTACCCCGTCAAGATACGCGCCAAAGAGTTTTTGTACACGCTGCAGCTCGGCAATGTTTTTGGCAGACATCCCGTAGAACAGTGAGTTGCAATAATCGAGCCCTGTCGATATGATATGATACGATACTATACTTCACTCCACCGTGTTGGTGCGTAGCATAGTAGTGGTCGAATCTATCGTAGAGTCCAAATATGGCATTTGCAGGACCTGACTATATTGTCCACGTGGTGATCAAACGGCACCATACTCTGGTCGAGTTTGTTGCCGAGGCTGTTGAGGTGAGTAGAAAACCGAATCGTGGAGTCTCGCGACCGCCACGCACGATCCCTCCCACACATGTTTTCGCCCGAGCCCGAGTGCCAACCGACATCTTCCGTGATCGTGCGGATGTAGGGCCGGAAGAAGAACCGACCAGATCCGCAGCGCAGCCATGCGCAAAACATTTGCAACAAATGACGGTCACGTTCGGGTCACGTCGGGGTCAGCGTTTCCATAGCAAGATCGTGGCACTGCGGGTTTGCGGAACTCGAGTAGCTAGAAGAGGAACGTCGGCCTGTCAGCACTCCCTTTATTTGCACGTCAGATGCTGCTGCGTTTCGACATTTTCGTTGGGCGTGTGCAACGCCTGTTTGAGCTCTTGCACCTCCTTCTCCAGATGCTGCTTCTGAAGCGAAGCGTTCTGAAACTCGGCTGGTGTAGGGCATTGTGCTCATCAAAGGTGTGCTGCAGCCTCCTCACTGGTTCAGCTGTTGGTCCAAGTCATTGATGTACTCCAGCCGTACCACCGCCTGTTGTGGCGAATCGTGCGCATCCATCAAGATTTACGACTTCGCCTCCTCCATCCGCGATTAGCACGACGAGCGTGTCCTGTTACAATAATAAAAAAAAAACTTTGAATGTTTACATTTTTAGTTACACGACTACAACCGGCAGCCTGCTGCTCTACGATTGAATGCGGCGACCACATTCCAAAATGTGGTCACGTGCCACGCAGCGCACTGCCACTGGGATTTGGCAGTGACGAGGTCAGTGGCCCTCGTGTACGCGTGGGTCTCTTTTTGGGACTGTCGGTCCACGTGTCCACGGTAAACCCAGGGATTATCCCAGGCAATTGGGAGGGGTCTGAGGTCTGGCACGCTTCGAGTTATTCGTGGCCACAGCAGGTTCGTTATCCATCGGGTGTTCTTTATTTAAAATAATGTGAAAGTTATCCGCAAAAAAAACTGCTTAAAATATAGCGGAGAGTGACCCAGCCGTGCCCAAGGCACCAGTTCACCCATCTCCCAAGATAATTTCTGATCACTGGCTCCGCCCCCTTATACAGCCAGAGCACTCTCCCTTAATTAACTATTCCATAATTAAGTCCAGCTGTTTCCCAATTACCTCACTCCCTGGGGAGTCAGCCACACCGCCCAAGCAATCATCATGGGCCCAAGCAATCATCCTGGGTGTGCGTGCAACATCGCCAACAAACCGGCTAAGCCCTCCCAATCCCCACACAGTTGTGGGCCACAGCATCACAACAGAAACGTAGCACGAGTTGTGTGCTTTGTGGCCGCCGCGTGAACCCAATGTACCGAGCTTAGATCGCTGGAAGTTCCGGGTGGATTGGAAATTATGTGTACCTCCAATCTGCAATTGACTTGAATAGTTATTGCTTGCTTTTGGGTGTGACGGTCGATGTCTGGATGATGCACTGCAAAATTTGCCGGACGATACAAGAGCCCAGTATAGACGTGTTGATGCTCTGAAGAGATCCGCAAACCCAATCGGCCTTGTGAGTGCGTAAGCTGTGTACCGGGCTGTCTCCCCAAATGTGAAGCTAAACTAACGAGATCATTTAAAGTCGTATACCCCCCCCCCCCCACGTGATTTTCGGGCACATTGCCGAAGTGCCCGATAATGACGTCACAGCTGTGATGGAGCCTTTGTCACTTTGAAGCACGTGCCGATAACCCCGTGACCCCCGACCTCACCGTGGCATGCGGAGGGTGCATTGTGGGAATTGCTCCACGTTTGACTTTGTGAAGCCTCAGTGTGCGGTAGCTGTTGCCACCTGTTCCTGGTTTTCCCAGTATCGGCCTCTTGTTGAGGTAGCTCTCCCGGAGGGAAATCTGTAAATCTTTCGAGGACATTAAAGAGTCCCGGTTTTTTGTCAGCTGCGTAAAAATG